ATGGTCTGGGTTTATTATGGGGAAAATCATCAGGCTTCACTCTGACAATTCTATGGTGGCATCTTGTATTTCTCATTGAGGAGGCACTTGGTCTCAGGACCTCTTCTATCATATCACCCTACTAGCTTGCCATGTTCCATGGGTGATGACTGCAGTAGCAAATCAATTATCTCAACCCAAACAGATTCTTCCAACAGAATAGATGCTGCATTACAATAGTTCTGTTAGTTTGGCACTCATTTTGCAACTCTGATTGGTGGGTTGGCCTCTCATTGGAACACCCAACTACTGGCAATTTGGTCTCCAGTACCTCACCTTCAGACTTTGGCAATGGATGCATTCTGTCAGAATTGGATGGGATTACTATTCTAGGCCTTCCCTCTAATTCATATGTTACCCAAGGCACTAACTATGTTTTGTTCCAACCCATTGTCTGGGGCTAGTGATAGCCCCGAATTGGCAGCTACACTCTGGTTTCTGCTTCTGCAATACTTTTAGGAGTATCCACCTATTACACTTCTTTATAGGCCATCTCTGTGGAGGCAGCCATCATTTGACAGGGTTCACCTGGCTATACAGAAGCTCAGACTTCAGGTATAGAGGTTATGCAGTCTTTTGCATGGCATCAGGGTTTAATTTCTTAGGTTGCAATATATCTGTCTCAGTCTTTGCTTAGTCCTGCAATGGACATTTCTCAATGGAAATAACACTCATATTGGCACTGGTATATTGAGAGCAGGTTGAATTCATTTTGCTCAGAAGTGCCAACCATAACTGTTTTTGGACCTGACTCTTTGGCAAGGGTTTTTGCACCTTCCATAATCCCCATGTATATGGAGGCCTTATCAACAACCATTTGATACTGGCAACTAAATATTCTTTGGATCACATCTGGGGCAGTCTTGCCCAGGCAGGTGTGCTTTTATCAAACCAATTCTGCACTATTAACTGGTAAATCAGTACACTTTATCTAGGTTTCTCAACAGGCTCTGTAGAAATGTGGTGTTCCATAAGACCATCTTGAGGCTGACCTAGTGGTATCACTGTATTATGGTAGACTGCCACTCTTGGAATATCATGAGTAAAGCATAAAGGGATCCTGCCCATCTCTGCCAGTCATTGGATTGAATAAAGTGGGGTTGGTTTGCTTTTAAACATTTAGGGAACTTGGTTCACCTATTGCACTATTTTCAGAGCACTGTTCCTCAGGACTCTCCAACACGCATTACCCTCCACATTCTACTAGTGGAGCTAGTGAGTCCTCACCACACCCTGTTTCCAGTCACAGAGGCTTTTCCTCCACAGTGGTAGAGTGAATTTCCTCCACTCTTGGAGAAGAGGGCAAACTTGGGGGCTTTCCTACCGGGTCCCAGGATGTATTTCCCAGATGTTGGTAGGAGAGGTACCAGTTTATGTGGGAGCCTACTCATGATACTAGTTCAGATTTGATGCTTGGCTATCCAGTTGGGTTAAGTGTGGCCCTTCTTTTTGATCAATATTGGTTCAGTACATTGTTCATGGAAGAGGGTCCATTGTTTCCTCGTAATTCCAAACACAAAATGGTCCCATCCTGGGTCCATGGTTCAGCACAGTTTGTTCCATACCTTCCCCATAATTCCGGGGGCAAGAAGAATTTACCTAGCCCACACAGTTGGGGAGTGAGGATGTGTGTTTATAATTCCAGACTGGATGAGTTATGTTTCCTTAGGCTGAGTACAGCATACAAGATCCCATCATTCCAAGCCTGGGGTGTTGCCTTTCAAACTTCTTCAGGTGGAGAAGGTCAGTCCACTTCATTGTTGCTTACCTTCTCATCATGATTCCAGTGGCTTGGTATGCATCACTTTATGGCTATAAATTGCGATCCATTCATAAGTATATATATGTATATACTGCAGTCCAATTGCTCAGGCCACCAATGTGGGATATAGGGACCATGGCCGATAATTCCAACTCAGAGCAGTGGAACCTCGGCTATCTGTTTGGGGCCTGGCCTATAGTGATGATAAATCATGTCAAATTCCACCCACAATGCAGGAATTATGTTCAGGGTGAAAAACATACCTGTTCTGGATGTAGTGTTGTTCCCTCACTAGGATGCCTATCTTCTATTGACACACTTATGATGTATGCAGATGTTTTCTGTATGGATAATGCCCTCACCAGCCCATCCACCTTATACGTGTTGGGTTGTAGCTATAAGTGGGAGGGGACATAAGAATGTTTTGGAAGTTATCTTTTTCTTAAATTGAAAATGTATTTCCAATAATACTTACCTCCTTTCACACTCTCCTGCCCTTCCTCCCCACTAAGAGCTGATGTTAGAGACTGGGATTGAGTACGTTTCGGAACAGTGATAATATTTTCTGAATAAGGTGGATATATAGAAGGCACCAGGATAGAGGGCACATTGATGTAGGTGGAGAGTATCACGAGACAAATATCAACAAGGACAATTAAGTGGGGTATAAAAGACTGGAACAAGTTAGAAAAAATTAGAACAATGCTTAGGTGGGCAAAGGAAGAAACCCTGGCAGTCAAGTAATAGCTACAAGTGTAAGAGGAGATAAGTATTATTGGAAATACGTTTTTGATTTAAGAAACTGGTAACATTTCTTTCACTTTTTCTGTTTGTCTTTCGTACTTAAATCATTCTCCATCTATTTTTTACCTTCTGAAGTTCCACCTATACCTTTCCTTTCTTTTCTCTTTCTAACTTCCATATTCTTTTAAACTCCTTTTGAATATTCTTTGTTTCTCCTGCATAATCTTCATCATTTAATTATTCACTTTCCTCTTTTGTCTTAACAAATTTCCGTTGGCCTGATTTTCTCATTTTTCATTTTCTTTTTCTCAGATTTCTTATTATACGCTTCTAAACCTTTATGGTTAAATTTATTTTCCTACATCTGTTTTCTTGATTTCTTATCCTATTAGTGATTTTTGTATTTCAACTTTCCATTCTTGAACTTGTATTACTATTTGTTATCTCTATTTCCTCTTCTTCTTTCAATACACATAATTATTTTCCTCTAGTTCCTGAAATTTCCTTTGAACTTCTAAGGAGATATTTCATGCTTCTTGTAACTCGTTTTTCATCAACACGTTTTATTTTCAAATTTTTTCTTTATGATTTTGTAAGTTTAAATTTCTTGTACTATATTTTGTCTTTTTATTTTTTGTTATGTTTCTTGTCATTGAGGAAACCTTTTAGAAACAAATAAAAAAATAATTGTAACTAAGAGATTTTCTCTTTCCGTATTACTTTCTTTTATTTCCCCTTCCATTTCCTGATGCTTTTCTTTTGTGATAGATGATCTTAATATTGTATTCAATGATTTAAAATGAATCTGACTACTCTTACTTTCCTTCTTATTAATCACAAGCATTTCTAAGGCATTCATACTATTTGTCTTGCCTCTTGTATTCTCACCAATGGCATATTATTACCATATCTAAATTTGGGGCCATAGGAAGCAGTAAGGCCAATCAGGCCATGGCTTGACCACTTTTTCATGGTATGTATAGGACAACTTATGTATTAAAACTTCCTTCTTTTAATTCAATACATTACATTGTGTGTATGCAGTATTTGTAAATACAATAGTTCAAAATTCAATCTCATAGTAATAAATTGCCCTAGAAATGGCAATGTGGCAATAGGTTGACCACTCCAAAATTGCTTCTTATGGCGATAAACTTACTTTAATTTCTAAACTCATATTAATATATCTTTAAATATTTCATTGTTTATCAAAACTTCTTACCTTTCTTATGATACTTTCTATCAATTTACACTTCATACTCAGATTTATCTTTATATTTCAAAATTCAATACTTTTCTTTGCAGGACTTGGATATGCATGCTTTCCTCAATTTGTAGACATACACTGCCCTCCCTACAAAAAACTAGAAAATAAGATAAAAAGTTCAAAATATAACTAAGTTTAGTAAGGATATAGCAAGATTAAAATGTGCAAATGAAATCAAAGAAAATAAATACTGGTTAAATGAAGAAGATAAAATATATTATTTATGTTAGAATAATTTAGAAACGATAAAAAATTTGATAACTGACTTAAAGTTTGGAATAAGGTTTGTTTGTTTGGAATTAAGCACAAAGCTACACAATGGGCTATCTGTGCTCTGCCCACCACGGGTATCGAAACCCAGATTCTAGCATTGTAAGTCTGCAGACATATTGCTGTGCCACTGCGGGGGCTTGGAATAGGACCAATGTGAGATAGATTAAAAAGAAATGTTGAAGAAGGTGCTAGAATGTTAGCCCCCCAGTAGCGCAGTGGTAAGTCTTAAAGCTTACAATGCTTAAAACCAGCTTTCAATACCCATAGTGGGCACAGCACAGAAAACCCATTGTGTAGCTTTGTGCTTAACAAGTAACAAACAAACAAGCTTGAAAATTAAGAAGTTTTTATAAGACATTATTAGAATAGGAGAGGACTAATGACAATTAAATTGTTTAATTTAATAATTTCACAATCTTGATAATTAATGAAATCAAAGTAATTGAACTACTTTCAAGTAAATATAGATTAATTAATTATACTTATACAGTAGTAATAACTAATGGTAATAGTTAAATGAATATTATTTTATTGCTTGATTGTTGATATGTCTTAAGAATACCTCCTTTTTTAGAACTTTAAGGGTAAAAAAAACAATCTTGTATTATCTACGTATATTATTTCTTTAATTGTATCTTGTATGGGAAAGATAAAGATATTCTATTTTAAATTTGAAACAAAACTGCCTCTGAATCTGGTGTAGAAAGACAAGATTTCTTGGTTGAATGTTTTTTTTCTGTGTATCTTGTATGTGATTTGTAAAGATATTATAGATTGAATGCAAGACAAAATTTAAGCTGTGAACATGATGTTGAAAGGCTGAAGATATTCTAGATTAACTGTACAATTTTCTGTACCTGAGAAAAATTACGGGTTTAACATAACTGATTTTTTTTCTATCCTTCTGTGTTATAGATATCAACTGTTCTACAAACGTGTGAAAAAACATTTGGAGTTTAAGCTATTATCTGACAATCAGGATGATATAGCTGTTTCAGAGTTGATTTCTCAGATGTGGAACAATTTAGAAGAGGACCAAAGAGCCACTATTTCATCAATTGCTGCTGCTCAGATTCAGAGTGGAAATAGCCCAGATCCATCAGTCACAGGAAGATGTTTGAAGGATTTGCCTCTGTCACTAAAGCTAGATATTGATGAAAATGAATTAAGTGAGTGTAATAAATTGAAGCCATATGTTTTTGTAACATTAAGTCCAAAAAAAAACAGTTGTTATTAATGTGTATCTTCATAAGATTAGAACTATAAAACAGTTCACATTTAGAAGTGACTTTTCAGTAATATTTTAACATCTAGATATTGCAGTTGTTACTGAAAAAGAACTTGAATACATAAGAAAGATTTAGTTAAGATAGTAAATATTGAGAAGGAAGTAGCATGGATACACAGACAGAGAGAAATTGCAGTGATGCATAATCTTTAGATAAGATAATAAACATTATATGGGAAGTTACAGTGGCACATAATTTTTACATAAGATAATAAAATTGGTAGGGAAGTTGTAACAACACATAATCTTTAGATATAATAGTAAACACAAGAGAAGTTGCAGTGGTGCATATTCTTTAGATATGGTAGTGAACTTTTTTTAGAGGAGGCATTAAACATTTGGAGGTGATTTAGCATTGATATTTTCTTTCTAGATAGCATATTAAAATTCAGTACATAATTTTATTTTGATATTTACTTATTCTCATTAGTATATAAGATATAGAAAACAAGAAACCATTTGGTCCAGCAAGGCAGTCCCTGAACATGTTCTACTCTTGATAAAAAGTAAAAACTTAAAGCTCACTCTTCTACAAACTATTATTCCATTAACCAATCACCCTGTTAGAAAAATAAAACTGTCTCAACCTACATTCCCTCTAATTTTTTAAAATCTGTATGTGGAATGAATTTCTTCATGTGCTCCAGTAGCAAGGCAATGTGCAGATGTGTGCCACCAGTTTTTGTTGTTTTTTTTCAGGGGGTGGGGGGTATTTTTAGATCACCAAATCTATTGAATCATTAGGCTGCTGTGTTATTTGGTCTAGGGTCATTAAGGCTGTCAGTATGTTGAGACTCCTCACCTTGCAAAGCTGGAATAACTGAGTGTGCAACATTTGGTTGGTTGTTGTGTAGCTACGCAACTTAGAGGGAACACTAGACTCTCAGTTGGAGCCTAGCTTGATTTTTCCAAATCTTAAACTTGTGCATATCTTCTCATATGACTATCCTCCAAAAATATCACAAAGAAATACGAAGCCTTTATTCTACCAATCCCCTAGAAGAGTGAACCCCTTTCATGAAAATGCCAAATCTCGTGAACCCCTCCTAAAAATAATACTTTCCAGGGATTTTCTCCCTTGTCTGTATATAAATTATAAAAACAGTGATCGTGGAAATATAAAATTTGGTTTTTATGTGACACTTTTATTACATGCTATTTATTATTACATTATTATTTATCATTATATTATGAAAACAGCAACACTCTTCCAAGATTTCACTGTTGTAACTCATGTCACTTGGATTAAGCCTAAAGTTGTTCTTGATCTTAATTTTAAAACCAACACTAGCAGTCTATTTAAGTTTAAAAATACCCCCTCACCTTTCCATTTCTCATGAAGAGTTTTGAGGTTATAATCTACTCAGTGTGATGGATGTACTTGCTTTGATCTACATAGCTCTTGGAAATATGGAAGCACTGAAGAAAGATAAAGTTTCAGGTCTGGTTCAGTACTGAGTCTACTTTTGTATTTGGTTTTTCAGATGTGCATACAAGGAAAATGCTTTCTCACATAAAGATTTTGTTGAAAATAGTAACAAAACTGTAGTAGCTTTTTCTGCCAGCAGAGGGTACTTGTTTCTTAAACTCAGCCAGAAATTGATCAATGGCAGACTTCTGAAACTCCTTTTCAGTTTGTAGTCACAGAAGATCTCAGTCAAGTTTTCTTTTTCCTCCATGCTCAATATCTGAGACGAGAAAGTGGTATCGTATATTATTAGGTGTAAAACAGTTCAAATAAAAAATCACACATTGAGAATGTTGACAAGCAAAAAAACGTCTCACCAGAGTAAAACAGCACACCACTGAGAGTGACTGAGTACTGACTAACTGAATGACTGCAGTGCCACTACATTGGTTACAATGCCTTGGCTCCAGTCCTCAAAGTGCCAAAATAGTTGTCTGTTGTGCTGGCGTTGTTTTTGTTAGGCTTATTTCTTTAATTACATTTAATTAATTAGTTATTTATGCATATGACAAATTAATTGTGTCTGCAATGTCTGCCAATTTCTTCATACTTCATGAAAAAAGCACCAATTGTAATTTCCCCATAAATTTGGAATTTTGGTGCACAAACACTTTTGCTTCTATGATTATAGAATTTTTTCAGAGAATCCCCTGAACCTCTTCCCTAGATAATGTTGTGATTATCAGTTAGATCACCTCTTAACCTTATAAGTTAAGAGATCTTTGCCTATTCACACAAGATAGCACTTTCATTGCTGGAATCCATCCTAATAACTTCCTCTGAATTAACTGAGTGTCCAATAATTCAGTATCTTTTCTTATATCAGCTAGGAGACCAAAAATGCTGTCAGGTTTTGTATTTATAGGTCGAATTCTTAACACTAGGTGTCCGTAACTTGTTGGGGATAAATTTCAACAATAAAAAAACAGCACACAGTCCACTTGTTTCAAACTAATATAGTTAAAACAAGTCAAAGTATATACAAATGTTCCTTACATTGTTGATTATCACAGTTCTACCCAGAGCTTTAAATAATTGTCTCTTTTTTTGTGAAAGTCCACACAAGCTGGTTCAATTACTTTAGAATACAATTGACAAGACAAATTATTTCTTCCTACTCTGTTAATACAATACAATCAGTGATAACTTAACTTTAAAAAATTGCCACTATACACTTTTTATGGCTAAACTCACAACCACACAGTTTAGATGTTCAACACACTATGAGATATTATGATGCAATAATACTCAATTAAAACAATGAGAAAAACTCGGAAGGTTCTAGTAACATGATGCAATTATATAAGAATCACCAATTCTTAACTAGCGAATTACACATCGTATGATTTGTGAACAGTTAAGTAAACAAACTTGCGATAAACTATCATTTCTCAAAAATAACTATATAAACTACTTAAATCATAACACTTGCATTAAACTGAAACAGACATGAATATCTAACAATAAGCCCTTCTTCAAGAAAATTATTTACAATATTTTTTATACAATATACAAAGACTGTTTTCAATTCATGCACAAAGTCTACTCATACAGTCCTAATAGAGTCCAGTACAGAATAATTGATGTAGCACTTAGATGGTCTGATGGTCAGACCTGCTGCCCTCACTCACCCAAACAGCTCTTTGAGTTTCTTCAGGTGGTCTTACCATCTGGCTGTGTGGATTGTGGATCAGAATTTCATCCACATAATGCTTGATGTTGGTGGTTTTGTGCAACATCTTCGGCATTATGTGGTTGAATGTAACTGCTGAGATAACTGACCCAAATGGTATCTTCTTGAACCAGTAACATCTATCTGGTGTCACAAAGGCTGTTTTCTCTTTAGATTCTGTTTCTATCAAACTCTGCCACTAACCTTTTCAGAGGTTGATCTAGGTAAAAAAATTTGGCTCCGTTTACTTTTGCCATGATAGCCTCTGGAGTGCCCATAGGTTTGGAGTTGAATTTCTTCAAGAGGTTCAGCTTTTGGAAATCTATGCAGATGTGGTTTTGAGCCATTAATCTTCTTTACGATTACCATTAGTGATCAGTAAGCTGAATTCAAAGGCTTAATGCTTCAGGCTTCTAATATTATCTCAACTTCTTGCTGGATCAGGTCTCTCATCACATAGAGCATATGGTAGGGCTACACCTTGACTAGATCCCAGGTCATGGTCTCAATCTTGTATTGCACGAGGTCTGTCTTGCCTTGTTTGTCTATGAAGACATCCTCATACTGGCACAGTAGATCTTGTAACTTTCTCATTTGCATGTCAGTCAGTTCTTCATTGATGTTGATGTCTTTATATATCTCATCTCCACCCAGCAGTATAGAGTCTAGTAGACCTTCATCTTCTATGACAAAGTTACCTTCTTCTGGTTCTGCATCTATGACAGTCACACCTGCAATGTCCATCTGTGCTTCAACAACTGCACCTGTTAGGTCTTCTTCCCTCTCAAAGTACCTTTTCAATAAACTGGCATAGTAGATCTAGGTCTTCCTATCCATTTTCACCTTTTAGTCCATTCTGTTGACCACTTCCTGCACTTTAAAAGGTCCTTTCCATTGCAGGGTGAGTTTGTTATTGTCTATAGAACCAAGACCTTGTGTTCAACCTTGAAATGTCGATCTTTGGCCTTCTTGTCATAGAAGTGCTTCTGACTGCCTTGAACTTCATACAAACTTTATTGAGCATGTTGACAGGTCTCCCCCAGTTAGTTTCTAAGATCTAACACATAGTGGTATGTGTTTTTCACTTCTGAATCTTCTTTGCCTGCCCACAGTTATTTCAGTATCTCATACTGTTCTTCCTTACAGTAACTTGAAGGGTGAAAAGCCTGTATTCACTTGTAGGACTTCTTGGTAAGCAAATATTGCTACCAGCAGGTACCTGTCCTAGTCACATGTTGGCACATCTTCTTCAGCATGCTCTTTAAGACTCCATTGACTTTCGTACAAAGTACATTACATCTAGGGTTGTATGGGGTGGTAAAAAATTGCTGGGTGCTGATGAGTCTGTACACCCCTTGCATCAGTTCAGAGGTAAACTGGGCCCATCTGTCACTCATGATACACCTCTTGCATCAGTTCAGAGGTAAACTGGGCACATGTGTCACTCAAGACTTCTTTTGGAAAGCCTAGAAGGGCTTCTGCTACTGTATCTGTCTCTATCTTCAGCAGTGCTATTGTTTCTGGGTAACATATCACATAGTCGACTACAATCAAAAAGTACCAGTTGCCCATGTCAGATACAGATGCTAGTGGTCCAATTATGTTAACAGCTACTCTGCTGATGGCTATTCTATGAGAGGAATCTCACCCAGTGGCACCTTGGCTGACTTCCCTCTAGGTTCTGTCCTTTGGTAGATGTCACATGACCTACAGAATCTGATTACATCTCCAATGACCTTCC